TTGCTGAGATAATAGATTCAGAAGCCGGACTGCTTGGATTCAGTACTCCTCTGCCTGTCTTGGTTTGGCCCTCTCTCGGGTGCGGCAGGAACATATGCTTCTCTGGGGCTTGGAGGGACACAGAGAGCCTCAGAGACACAGGGCCACTTGACAAGACACCAGGCAGCCATTTCTGCAAAGCATCATGCCCTTTCCTTAGCTCCACCCAATAGGAAGGATGGGCACAAGTCCCCTCTGTTTTCAGGTTCCCCAGGCCTGTGTGGGGGTTCCCCTCGGGTCTCAGCACCACCAACCCCGTCCAGGGCCCCAGACCTTCCCCGAGGACCCTCCAGCATCCCTGCTCTCCCCTCCTCCCTGACTTCCACTGCTCCCTCAGGCTGAGGAGTCGTCGTTGGTTTATTTGGGGACAGGACAGCCTGGTTTTTGCACATATCCCTCTAAGTCTGTTTCTTCTTGGATTTGCAGCTCAAAGGCCAAGAATCTGACCGGCTTGTTCACTGCCTTCTTACTGGGTTATTACTTGTCTCAGGCAGTAGTCTGAGGCAGTGGAAGAGGGTGGCAGGGATGGTAGGAGATCATGAAAAGGAAAAGCACTCAGGCTACAGTGTCAAATTATCACTCTGCCATCAAGCCTGCCAATAACTTAAGTAGAAACCGAATTTACTGGACGCCGCTCAGGCACCTCACATGGGTGTGGGAGGAACTTGAGCACCCAGGACTGGGGGGCTAATTCGGGGCTCTTGGTGAGGCGCACGCACAGGGCTCAATCCTCATGACTTTCGATCTCTGGGATTCTTTTTTTTTTGTTTCCCAGAGAGAATTTTTGTTTGACTGAGCTTGGGTCAGGTGTCTAAGCCATGGAGCCATCAGCTCTGGCCAGGGGACAGGGGCACTGTATTTAAGTAAAGCCAGTAGCCATAACCGGCCTCTTTAATCAATGACTGAATGAAAACATTCGTTCCTTGTTTATGCCAGTTTCAGTGCAGGTGTTTCTGGTCGTTGGGCCCAGGCTCCCTTTTTCTTGTGGCTTCACCATCATTAGGGTCCCTGATGGGGGAAGAGAAGATCATATGTGAAGTATTTTTTTTTCCCCCTAATTGTGGTAAAATACACAGGATACCCGCTCACCATCGTAACCGGTTTTTTAACTGAAGTAGAGTTGACACAGTGTTACACTGGTTTCAGGTGTACAGCACAGGCTGGGACAACTCTGTACCTTATGCTGTGCTCACCGCAGCGTCGGTACCATCTGTCCCCATACAGCCTCTTACAGTAGCACTGATTGTGCTCCCTGTGACTCATCGTTCCATACAATTTTTTTTTTTTTTTTTTTAGAGAGAGGAACTGGGGTTGGGGAGGGGCAGAGGGAGAGGATCTTAAGCAGGCTGTACGCCCAGCGTGGGGCTCACGGCCCTGAGATCACGACCTGAGCTGAAATCAAGAGTCAGGTGCTTCACCGGCCGAGCCTCCCGGGCGCCCCCGTCATAACAATTTTTAAGTGTGTCGGTTGGGTGGCATTAAGTACAGTCCCATTGTGCAACCAACACCACCGTCCACCTCCAGAACTCTTCATCTTGTTAAAGTGAACTCTGTCCCCATAAAACATGAATTCTTCATTCCCGCCCCCACCCCCGGGCCCCGGGCAACCATCCTCGTCTCTGAATTTGACTGCTCGAATACCTCATGTCAGTGGAATCACCTGGTATTTATCCTTTTGTGACTGGCTTATTTTGTTTAGCATGACATCTTCAAGACTCATCCCCGTTTGTAAAATGTGTCACAACCTCTTTTCCTTGTGCAGGCTGAATAATATTCCATTTTATGTATAGACTGTTCATCCACTGGTGGGCACTTGGGGTTGTCTCCACCTCCTGGCTATTGCAAATGACGCTTCTGTGAACATGGGTGTACAAATGTGTCTCAGACACCCTGCCTTCAATTTCCTTGGCATACTCCCAGAAGTGGAATTGCTGGATCATATGGTAATTCTATTTTTAATTTTTTGAGGAACTGCCATCCTGTTTTACATAGCGGCTGTACCATTTTACATTCCCACCAACAGTGCAAAGGATTCCAATTTCTCCACATCCTTGCCAACACTTGTTATTTTGTTTTCTTAATTTTATTTTGTTTTTGATAGTAGCCATTTCAGTGGGTATGAGATGGTGTCTTGTGAGCCCTGGCAGGTTTTTTTTTTTTTTTTTTTTCTTTTTCTGTAATGCCAGTGCCTGACTTCAACTTTGATTGCTTGAGGCATTCATTTCAAAGAGGCAAACAAATTTGTCAGCCACACAGAGCCGGGCCACCTCCTCCACAGTTGAGGCTCTTTTGTTTTAGAGATCTTGATTGATTTTCAATAGCTGACCTTTTGGGCCACTTGTCTTTTCTCTTCCCGTGCTTTAAATTTCTGCTCTTATGTTTTAAATTCACCAATAAAGAGTGAGCCCTGAACGCTTAGGCCCCCACCCTTGACCCCAATAAAAGCAGAACCCCTGGTCTGTGCTCTCTCTCGTGCCCCCCTTCCCATGACCTCGCTGTGTAGCCCCAGGTGTACTGGGCAGTTTCCCAGGTCTTGTAGGTAATAAGCCTTTATTTCTTTAAAGTTTCCTGATGATTGTTGCTGAGGGGCATCTTACAATCATAGTAAGAACCACAAGGGTTGGTCCAGTCCTGACATTGGTTTGAAGAGGGGAGATGTCTGTGGCAAGCACACGGTGGCCCAGGTAAGTGCCCCAGGCATTTCTAGGCTTTGGCATTACTATCATTGGCTGAGGCTGACAAAAAACGGATGGCATGGGGGTTAGGCCTGGAAGGGGCCTGTATCCCTTCAGCTCACATTGGCCACACTTGCTTACAAGGCTAGGAGACAGATTAAGCTGTCTCTCCAGGAGGAAGAGATGAGCAGAGCATTCCCCACACTCAGAAAAGCATCCCGGACTTCCAGGAGCCCACCTGCATAGTGGGACCAGTCCTGGACAAGGGGAGGGTATTGTATGCCATGGCAGCCGCCTGAAAGGTGTCTTCCACAGGCAGACCTAGGTTCAAATCCTGCCTCTCCACCCGATCACTGTGTGACCATAGGCAAGTGGCTTTCCCCCGCTGAACCCCAGTGTCCTTGATGTTAGCTAAATAAAATCATGCCCGTTTCCCTAGAAGCACTGCAGGAGTCACACCAGAGGGTATGGCTCATGAGGATAGGACTTGAAGAAGCCCTGGAGCCCCGAGGGCGCTGGCACGTTGTAAGCCCTTAGGACTGAGGTACCCAACCTGAAGTAGGTGGGCCAGGGACTGCGTGTGTCTTGTTATATTGTCCTCTTTAGTAATTTCTTCAGGAGCAACACATTTCCCCAGCAAAATGGTCGGTTCTTGTGTACAGGGTCTTGTCCCTTGGGAAAGGCAGACCAGTGGTTCAAAGCAGGAGGGGACACACGTGTGGAGTGGATCCCCACACCCCACCTTCCTTGGAAGCTCTTCCTGCTCCTTCAAGGCTGAGATCCTAGCAGGTTTCCGAAGAGGGGGGCTTTGGTCGGCGGGGGATGCTCTGGTCCGGCAGCGAACCAAGCATACTGGGCCCTCGAGGCCCCAAAGCGGTTTCCTCCTCCTGCTCAGAGACCTCCCTGGCTGCTGCCGGGCAACCTGGCACATAGTAGGCACTTGTTAAAAGTCCGCTAGTGTTCTTGGGACCTGCCCAGGTGAAAAGTCACCAGGGATTGGCATTGGGAGTATTGTATTCAAGCGCTGACTGCCCTGGGAACTCTGTGGCTTTAGGCGGAGCAGGACCTGGGCCTCCTCATCTGAACAGTGGTGATAAATATGAAGAACCAACCTCCTGGGATTGGAGCGAGGGCCAGATGAGGAAGTGGGCTGCCGGTGCTTTGCTCCTAAAGATAACAGTACTCATCTCATTTAATACAACAGACCTAGGAAATGTGAACATTCTTATTCCCATTTCAGAGATGAGAGAGAAAAACTAACTCAAAATTGGCTGAAGCAAAATAATAATAATTTGTAATAATAATAGTTGTTACTGACTTATGGAACCAAAAAAGATGTATCTTGCTTCAGGTAGAACTTGATCCAGGATCTCACGCAAGGCCACCTGTCTGATGGCTTCCGGATGGAAGCGAGATGGCTCCAGTCTTCTGTCTGAGGTTCAAGTCTGGTGGGAAGAGAGAGCTTCTCACTCCCTGAAGTTCACACAAAGCTTCTAACCAGATTTCTGTGGGCTAAATTGGGCCACGCTCAGATCTCTGAGCCAGCACTGGCCAAGGGGAGGAATGTGCTGATCGGCCAGACTGCGCTCATACCCAGACCCTGGAGCCTGCTGTGCTCTGCTCCATGGGAATCAGTGCCTTGGGGAGGGGGCTCTTCAAAGCAGATTTGAGGTCTCATTCCCAACAGAAAGGGCAGTGGCCTTTGGGCAGCCCTGTAGCAGCAACAAATGCAGGCCTCTGAGGTCGAGCCACTGGTCCTATGCATCTCAAACGGTCAGGTGCAAACAAGTCTGCGGGGGCTCTTGTTAAAAGGCAGACTCTGATTCAGCAGGTAGGGGTGGAGTGCGGTGCAGTTTTGTTCCTAATTAGCTCCTGGGCGATGCTGCTGGTCTCTGGACCACACAACCAGTGTCACGGCACTAAGCCACGGGAACCAGGCACTGACAAGCATCACCTCTCATGCTTCTTACCACTACCCCAAGAGGCAAGTACCATCAGACCCATTTCACAGAGGTGGAACCTGAGGCTTGGTGAGGAGAGGCGAGGGGATGGTACAGGACACAAAAGCTAAGCCCTAGAATTTTGGAGTCGAAGTGGAGATGTTAGGGCCATGAACAAAGAAGGAAGGAGGGAGACACAGGACAGAGGTCTGCCTGAGGCCGCGTAATGGGTGTGGACAGAATCCCCGGGGACTGAGGGGAGCTCTGGAGGTGACTGCCTGAGTCATCAGAGTCCTCAGTCAGCGCCGGGGAACATTTGGTTTTGTCTCCTCTTTCTTTCTTGCAGCCTTAACTATGGGGGAGTTTGCCTGGCGTCAGATGCGCAGTTCAGCGACTTCCTCGGCAGCATGGGGCCAGCGCAGTTTGTGGGCCGCCAGACCCTGGCCACCACGCCGATGGGTGAGTGCCCCAAGACCTGTTCTGGGGGCGGGGCACCGCAGGCCCTGTGTCTTTCTCCTCGCCCCCTCTACCTTGGCTGCATCCACTGAGCACCCAGCTTAGAGCCCTGTCTGCGCCCGCCAAGCCCTCAGCAGAGCCCGGGCACTCATGTTGGAATTATTTCTGGTCTTGTGTTGGGCTGGGAGAAGGGGAAGGGGGTTTCATCTCTAAGTAGAGAGGAGGGGCTGAGTCCTTGGGTGAGCTTATGAGCCACTTCTCGGTCCCTTTGCTTGGGGTCTCTTGCAGGGGATGTGGAGATCGGCTTGCAGGAGCGGAATGGCCAGCTTGAAGTGGACATCATCCAGGCTCGGGGACTGACAGCCAAGCCAGGCTCCAAGACACTGCCAGGTGTGGGGACTGCTCTTCCTTCTGCAAGGCAAGGGTGGACGTCGATGAGGTCCTGAAGGGTATCTGGGTCTAGAAGAGAGAAAATTGGGCCCAACTACGGGGGGACCCCTTTGTCCCAACTCTAGTGACTCACATGGGACTAGTGGTTTAGGGTTTGTTCTGGGGACGCTCTTGAGATTGTCAGTTGACTTTATTGGTCTTCCCCACTGGTTTGAGCTTCTGGAGGACAGAAGCTTTCCTGTGTATGGCTATACCCCCATACGTGGGTGCCTGGCACACCCAGGCTGACCGAATGTGTCTGTGGTGACTGTGGAAGCCGGGGAAGGGGTGAGCAAATCAGGGACTGAGAGACGAAAGAGGTAAGAGCAGAGTGAGCAAAGGCAGGGAGGAGGCAGGCAGGCCCCCCCCCCCCAGGGGGTGGAGTAGTTCCCACCCAATGCTGGCTACACCCCATCATCTGTATCTACCACCCCTGCGGCTGCCCCCCCAAAACTCCAGAGGGGGGCAGTCTGACCCTCAGCAGGGGGTGGGCAGCCTTGCTCTGCTGTGCCATGTGCCTACCATTTGAGGGCTCAATTGGAAGTCACCCTGCTGGCCTCTGTCCTCAGCGGCCTACATCAAGGCCTACCTGCTGGAGAACGGCGTCTGCATTGCCAAGAAGAAGACCAAAGTCGCTCGCAAGTCGCTGGACCCACTGTATAACCAGGTGCTGCTGTTTCCTGAGAGTCCCCAGGGCAAAGTCCTGCAGGTGAGGGGCCCTGGGCGGGGGGAAATGTGCGCAGTTCCTGAGGGAGAGGGGAGCGCTCCTGGGAAAAGGGGCGGTCTCCAGAGGGCCTCCACTGGAGGAAGTAGAGCACCGCGGTTGATCTGAGCTCTGTAGTACAACTTGGAACAGGTTCCTTTCTGAGCCTCAGCGGCCTCATCTGTAAGAAGGGTTGCTCGCGTTAACCTCCAGAGAAGGTCTGCGGTAGCTGCTGCCATTGTTCTTGTTATCCACCATCAACACAGCCATTCTGGAAGCCCGGGGCTTGGCCTGGAGCACAGAGATCATCGACTGGGAGGCGTTAAGGATCCAGAGAGGCGTGTGGTCCCCTGGCCCTTAAGGAGGGTCCTCAGGGTGACTTAGACGTGGAGCTGGAAATAGCCGCCCATCGTGGGCGTCGGCTGGGCCCAGGTCGGATGCCTGCAGGAACCGCGTGCCTGCTGCCTGAGAGCCGCCACTTGGGCACCTCTAGCTGGTGCCTCCGTGTCTTGCTTCTAACCAGGGCAGGCAAAGCGAATGAGGGCAGGCCCTGAGCGTTGCAAATGGCCAAGACAGCGGGACTTTCACCAAACTGGGAAGCCCAGGCCTGTCCAGGGCAGATTTTTTTCAACCTAAGGGTTAAGACCCATCCATGTGCTGTGAAATCAATTTAGCGACTCTCAGCAAGTTGTTTGCTTGTTTGTTTAACGGAATGGAAAGAAAACATTTGTCATTCTTAGGCAAGTTGTAGTTGGTGAGGCACTTGCTTCAACTGGGAATCCCACGTACTTGCTGCGTAATGCTGTAAAGGCCTTACTGTACATCCCTGTCAAAAAGCTTGGAAAAAGTCTTCCAGCCTAGAGGCATGCAAATACAATGTAAAACCCCAGAAGACCATCTAGGGGCCACATCTGGTCCACCAGAGGAAGGAAGTGCCTTCTGGCCTGAGCATCTTTGGAGAAGCTCCAGAGAACGGCCCTGTCTGGGATGTGGAGGGGGTGGGGCGACAGACATCTGAATGGGGGGGGTCCTTGCCACTGAGCTCTCTGACTGACGTCAGAGTGGGACAGACCCACCAGCACCATGCATGAGATCCAAACACCAGCTATAGTGTGTGCGACAGCTGCCGTACCCAAGTACCACGGATTGGGTGGCTTACACGATAGAAATTTATTTCTCATGGTTGTGGAGCTAGAAGCCCAAGATCAAGGTATTTAGTTTCTTCCAAGACCTCTCTCTTTGGCCTGCAAACGGCTACCTTCTCACTATGGGTCCTCACATGGTCTTTTTGCTCTACCCACATGCATCCCTGTGGTCTCTCCGTGTGTCCTCATCCTCCGTGTGTCCTCTTATAACGCCAGTGGGATTGGATTAGGGTCACCCTAATGGCCTCATTTGAATCTAAGGCCCTGTCTCCAAATTAGTCACATTCTGGGGGCTAGAGCTTCAACATGAATTTTGGGGGAACACAGGTGAGCCCATAACCCCGATTTAAAATGAATCCGTCCATGCACTAGAGATGGACTTTGATCAGCTGCCCAAGGAGCTCTGAAGACTGGTCAGGTGAGCCACCTCAGGCAAATGATTTAACTTCTCCCAGACTCTGTTGAAACAACTGAAATGGGAGCATTTTGTAGGTTGTTGGGAAGGTCGACTGTAAGGCCAGCGTCACCTTGGGGCAGGCAGTTTCTGACACCAGTGCACAGTAGTGCGGGCTCACGCTATTCTCCCCCCCCCCCCCCCGTGTGCTGGAGGAGCCGCTGAGAGTGTACAGGGAGCTTTCACATCCACTCCTTTGATCCTTACCCGCGAGGTAAACTGGGGATAACTTCATTTAGAAACAAGAACTCGAGACCCCGGGAGGTTAGATGCCTTGCCCACACCACCAAGCCAGGACTGGGATTGGAACCCACTTGTGTCTGACCCCAGAAGCTGTGTGTGCACACCGACAGGCTCTACGGAATGAGCCAGCCCACCTTCATATAGGGGACGGAGTTAGAACCTGAGCCACAGGAGAGCACACGAGGGTCCTGCAGCCACAGGAATCCCCCCACTGGCTGCCCCAAGAGAGAGTGTTGGCCACACAACAGGGAAGGCACCGCAGAAAGGAGTCTGTTGGAAACAAGGAGGGGCGTCAGTCAGCCACTTTTAAAACTTTGTTTCACGTGAGGGGTTTCCAAGGATCTGGAAGCTGAGGGCCTGGTGGGGGTGGGGCTGGGGGGACCAGCAGGGGACTCACCATGGAGGGCCAGCCCGCAAGGCTTGGCGTCGGGGACAGAGGAGGGTGTGGAGGGAGGAACGGAGGAGGCTGGATGGGAGGCAGGAAGCCAGTGGGCTAGGCGAGCAACAGCGGTGGCCCTAGAGCCAGGAAATTCGGGTCAGGCTCGAGCCATTCTAAGGCGGTGGCCACCCCAGGACTCAGAAATGCAGCGGACATGGGGGTGACCTGGGGTCTGGTTCTGGGCCTGTGAGCGGCACCGGCAGGATCTGACCCGCAGTATCTCTTGACCCGCAGGTGATCGTGTGGGGGAACTACGGGCGGATGGAGCGGAAGCAGTTCATGGGTGTGGCCCGTGTGCTGCTGGAGGAGTTGGACTTGACCACCCTAGCCGTGGGCTGGTACAAGCTCTTCCCCACCTCCTCCATGGTGGACCCAGCTGCGGGCCCCCTGCTCCGGCAGGCGTCCCAGTTGTCCCTCGAGAGCACCGTGGGGCCCTGTGGTGAGCGATCTTAGGGCCGGGGTTGGGGGGGGCTCCCCGACAAGGCCTGGAGAACGCCCAGCCCCAACCTGGGACCCCAGGCCCAGGGGCACATTGAATACAGGAGGACGGGGTTCTCCCCCACAGCGGGGAAGCAGAACGGGGAAACCTGCCCCCCCAGGGCCCCTCCTCACCCTCTCTTTGCCTCCTACCCCCTGAGACCTTCCCTCTCCCAACGGGATTGGCTGCGCTTTGGACTTGGCCGGTTCTTGACCTGGTGGATGCGGCTGCAATCCGGAGAAAGGAAAGACTGAGGTGTGAGGTGGCAGAGCAAACCATTCTCCTGTCCCAGACACTGTCCAGCGGCTCCCCCTTTTTTGCCTCCTCGGAAGCTCGCTGCCCGGAGCCAAGTCCAGAACCCAGCGGCCATCTCCATGGTGCCAATTACCAGCAAGTGTCTTTCCTGCGGCACCGGGTTCAGGCAGCTACTCCTGCCCCAAAGCCGATGGGGCAGCTTTGCAAGGATCCGGAGCCAGCTCCGGGGGGCCCAGAGCCTCCCGCTTGAAGAGGAGCTCGGCCTCCCTCCGCCTGCCTGTGGAAGGAGCTTTGCCGCAGCCTGTCTGAGTCCATCTGTCTGTCCCTTCCTGCCTGCCCCTCTTCCAGTGGCTCTAGGAATTGGGGTCCAGCAGGGACCAAAGGAAAGGAGGCGGTGCCCTGGGCCTGGCACAGACCCCCAGGGTGCCCTGCTCCGTGGGATTGCAACAAGCTAGTTTGGAAATGGTGGACTGGAAAGAACTGGGTTGTCTGCATTTTGGTGGAGGAGCTGCGGGACCTTGATTTTTGAGAACCCCAAGTCCAGAGAGCTCACCATCTCTGAATTTTGGGGACGCTGGATTGGAGAGGGAGTCTGAGTAAAGTTGGGATTGGGACTGGTGGTGCCAAGGCAAGGGTTTCTCAAATAGGAGAGTCCCTCCTCGTTGGATGAGGTCAGAGGTCTTCTTGTCCACCCCTCTGCCTCTAGGCTCGGGGTCTGGGGAGGCAACAGAGCTTCCCTATTTTAGTCTTTTTAAACAAACCATCCTGTACTAAGGGCAGAACCCACTGCCCCGGCCTCAACTACCTTGGCTCATGAGTGTAAGCATCAGGAGATTCCTTCTCAAGCAGGCCTGGGTAGCTGCCTTCCTGGCCCGGCCCTCCCCGAGGCCTACGGAAGCCCTTTTGCATGCTGGGAGGACACAGGCTGGCCCCTCTTTGTAGAAGCACATTTCTGCCACCTCCCGCTGGGAGGCACCCAGCAGCCCACCACCCCTCATTACCCAGTCCCTGCTGTGTAGGGCGTAGTCCAGGTTAGCTGGGTAGAGTTAGTGTTCCAGGCCCTGGGGCCTGTTCTTAGCTTGCATATAGTCCTCATAGAGCTCCAGGACGGGGTGGAGAGGAGACGGCCGTCTCCCCACTGGTCTGGGTCTGGGCCTGGAGCCTGGGTCATGGGAGGCCAGCCCTTCTTCCTCTTCCCTCCCCCCACCCCCAGGGTTGTAGCTGGAGCTGCCCCTTATACTCAGATGTTCTGATGTATTATCCTTGGTTCTGGTTTTATTTGTGAAGCACTCCTGAGGGTTGTGGGCCTCGGTGGAGAGGCCTGGGCTCCATCAGACGATGTCTTCCACCGGGATGCCCAGCTGTGTTTAGTCCTGCCTCCTTGGCCTCACTCTAGGCTGTTGACCAGGTGATTTCTTCCACCTGGAACCCCTTCCCGCCTCTCCCTTCCCTCCCCTCCCCTCTACCTGTTTAAGCCCTGGGGAGCCTTTAATGTTCTGGATGAGTTATATCCCCTCCAAGGAGCTTCCCATGCTGCACTGGGAAGGGGAGACGGAGATGCCCCTTTCTTTTATCGATGAGCTCTCTTGAGCTTCCTGGGATTGTGCTGGGTGGAATCCCAAGGCTGGGGCAGGAGGCAGCAGGGCTCTCTGGATGGCCTCCAGTCTGAGGCCCAGAATCAGCCCCTCCCCTGTTTGTTTTTTTTAACCAGTGTGATTTCTCTGCTGTTCGTTTATTACTCACCATTTGGAATATTTTGAGCCAGGAGAGCGCCTTCTCTCTCTAGCCGTCACTGCTCTGCTTGTTCAGGGGTAGCTTTTCAAAAAACGGGGCAGAGCCTGGCTGTCCCAAACAGAGGGAGAGAGGGCTCGGTGCACCCCCCCCACACACACCTGGCCCGAGCCCACCTTCTGGTGTCTGCACAGCCTTTATAAAGAGAGAGAGCACGCTCCAAAGCAATAACAACACCCTGGGGGTGGTCACCAAGGGCCTCCCTCAATGACTTTCTTGTTTGTTCTGTGAAATCTCAGTTCACCTCCTGGTGGGGTGGGGTGGGGGCTGGAGCCCTGTTTCTTTGTATAATTGTTGTGAGCACGTGCCCTGCTTCCAAGGGGCTCTGACCATTTGGTGTGGGAACCACTATCTGGCCTCACCAAGAGATGGGGGTTTGGGGAGGGGGGTGACTGTTCTCAGTATTAGCTTTGGGGAACCTTCAAGCCCAGCCTGTCCCTACTGCTGCCTGATCCTTTGCCCACTCACACTCCATCTGGAGAGGAGCAGAGACAGGGAATTGTAGAGATTTGGGAGCCGGGAGCTGGGGTCTATAGGGGCTGATTCTTTTTTCAATCACTGGGCCAAAAGTCACATGCAGGGGTACTGTGGGAGGAAGTCCCCATTTCCCTTCGCCGGAATCTGCGTTTCATACAGATGGGAAAGGGCCTTTGGGACCATTAGTGAAGTCCATTTTACAGATGAGGACCGAGGCTTGGCAAGGCCTGCCTCTGGGATCACCTGTGAATTCAGTGGCACCCCCAGCCTGGGCTTCCTCCCACCCAAGGCTGAGCTGGAGCCAGAGCAGGACCAGACGGGGCCACCATTTCCCACAATACTTCCTCCTCCCTTCTCTCTGTAGAGCCTCCCAGCGGCGCAGAAAAGACGGGCAAATTGTAGCCCATCGGAGAGGTGAGGCAGTTAAAGCCCAGAATCAGGAAGTGATTTGCCCAGGACCCCTCAGCAAATGATCAATGGGGACAGAACAGGGGCTCTGTCCTGCTTCCCTCCTTCCTGGGACCGGAAGCCACTGCCCAGGCATGTCTGTCATGATAAATATTTGTGGCCTTTAAGCCCTGGGCCACCCAGCCCTGCTTGGTTCCATCTCCGAGGGCCCGGGTTTGGGGGAGAGAGTTGCCATAGAGACTAAGCTTTCCTGGGGTCTGGCCAAGCTGACTGAGGGTACACAGGATTTGGTCTAGGCCTCAATGTGTGGGTAGGGGCTCCCGCTGAGGGAGAGGTCATAACCCCCTAGGACCAACTTGAGGGAGGCGAGAAGTACCATTCCCTGCCTGGGGCTGTGTGAGAGTGAGGTGGCTGTGGTACACCTCATCTTAAGCCTCACAAAACCTTCACACGTAACCACATCTGACCTTCCTGTAGTGCTTTTCAGACTTCTGCTTTCAAAGTGCTTTTACGTCAAGTACATCCTCCCAAGAGCCCCTGGGCAGTAGAGGGGGCCAGCATTATCAGCCCCTCTTTAGCGAGGAGGGAGCTGAGGCCCCGGGAGGGAAGGCACCTGCTAACGTCCCACTGTGGGGTCATGGCTGAGGCAGGACTAGAACTCAGTTCTCCAGCAGTTGAGAGCTGTATGAGGAGGCAAGGCAGACCGTTTAGGGGGTGGTTACACACTTTACAAGCTGATTCACCATCCGGTTCCTTAAACCAGGAGCTCCTGGGCACCCTTCAGTGTTCAGAGGTGGCGCTGAGCCCCCCGCCCTTTGGAGCACAGCTGTCGCGTCAGGCAAGGCCACCTGCATTTATTTATTGAGCAGCAGCTCTGTGCCAGGCCCAGGGGACTGAGCCCCCTCCCATTCCCCGTAACGATCCCCTCGGCTCTCTGGGAGGGGCCCCTTGTCTGCATAGCAGCACCTCAGAGTGGACGGAAAGCGGCCATGTCCACAAGCTCATCTGACTCACACCCTGGCGGGCGGGGGGGGGGGGGTTGGCCGACTGCCCATCGTACCCCTAGCTTCTCTGAGGGCGAAGTGGAGACTTGAACCCGGGGCCTCAGGCATCACATCTGGAACCCTTTCACTCTATGGCTGCCTCCTGAGGGGGTGGCAGGGAGGCCAGACCCCGGGTCCTTGGGCTGGGGGCCTTTCCATCCACCCACTTTTCCCTCACTCCCTCTCCGGGAGCAGGAGCTGCTCGGGACTTTGGGGAGGGAGGGTTTCCGGGGCCCCTGGGTTGGCGTGGGTCACGTTGCATTGTGTTCATGACCATGTAGCTCATGTTGAAAATTAAAGTTTTTGGCTTTTCTAACCCGGCTTGCTCTGCCTTGTGTTGGGAGTTCTGAGAAGCCAAGGGCAGGTAGTGTCTGAAGGAGCTGAGTGCTGCGTGATGCCAGTATGCCCCACCACGGGCACCTTAGGGGGCAGGGCATGTAACCCTTCTAGAGACGCACGGGGGTGGGGGGCGTGGGGGGCAGGATTCCAGATGAACCCAGTCATATTACAGAGGTGGAAACTGAAGCCCAGGTAGGGATGACATTCCCCAAGGTCACATGATGGGCAGTTCCCAGACGAGGGCTCTTCCCACAGCGTGCTCCTGCATCCAGGTGCCCCAGTGATGCGGTGGCTGTCAGCAAGGCCCCCCTCATCCTGCCGTGGCATGGCCAAGGACAAAGAGCTGCAGATCGGTGGGGGGAGGGTGTGCTTCATTCACACATGGGCCAATTTCACTCTACCCCAAATTGAGCAAGAGAATGAACGATCATTTAAATAGTGCAGATTTGCCCACCCCGCCCCACGGCACAGGTGTTTCCCTGCCGTCCGTCCATGGGACCGTGCTTCTCCTGCTGTGCGGGGCTGGCCTCACTGCTAGGGTCCCAGTGTTGAGAGCCGCCCATCTCCCCTGCAACACGGAAAGCCTGCCTCTTCTCGCAGCAGAAAGACGACCACCTGTTTCCACTCCAGGGGGCCAGCTGGTGACGCGGGCCTGGGAGAGCCTCTCCTGGGAGGCCATGCCTTCCTGAAACAATTTGGACCACAAGGGATTTGCACCTACAGGGCGACTTGGGAGTCGCGCTTGTGCTTATGGTGCGGCTTTAATGTATTTTGGGAGAGGAGCGAGGGGCTGGCCACAGAGGGGAAGGACAGACTGCTTGTGGGTGAAGACGGCCGTGAGGCCACGGCCGCTCACCCCTCTCCAGGCTCTGGAGAAGGTGCACTGACAGGTGACCCCGGGCCCCGGCCCGAGGTGGGCTGTCAGATGGACTTGCGCCGGGCCGGGGGCCTGCCCGCCCTGCTGCCGCCGCCCACAGCCCCAGGGCTCGAGGGGGGTGAGAAGCCCAGGTTGTCGCGGGCCCCCATCTGCAGCTGGTGCACGCGGGAGGAGACGGAGGTGGAGCCCCCGGCGCTCGCCGGCCGGCGGGGCGGGGAGCGGCCGCGGCTCTCGGGCGCCCCCGGGCGGAGCGGGCTGGGGCGGCGGGCGGCGCGCGGGGGCGCGTCGGTGCTGGCCGCCAGGAAGCGCAGGACCACGAGGTTGAGGAAGGCGCCGATGACCGTGAGCCCCAGGAGGATGTAGAGGAAGCTGAAGGCCACGTAGGGCGGGTTCCTCTGCAGTGCCTCGTCGCTCTGCAGCGCCACGAAGTCGCCGAAGCCGATGGTGGTGAGCGTGATGAAGCAGTAGTAGTAGGCGTGGAAGAAGGTCCAGCCCTCGAAGTGCGCGAAGGCGGCGGCCCCGAGGGCCAGGGTGGCGGCGCACACCAGCAGCCCGGCCACCACCATGTTCTCGGTGGACACGCGCGGCCGCCGCAGCCCCAGGCAGCGCTTGGCCGCCAGCAGGAGGCGCCGCACCAGCGCGTTCAGGCGCTCGCCCAGGCTCTGGAAGGTGACCAGCGTCAGGGGGATGCCCAGGAGCGCATAGAACATGCAGAAGACCTTGCCCGAGTCCGTGCCCGGCGCGGCGTGGCCGTACCCTGGAGGGAGAGCGGAGGGGAGGGGGGTGGTGAGCGCCGGCTGCGGCCGCCCTGCCCGGGCTCCCTCCCCAGCCCCGGGGCCGGCGCAGCATCTTGAAATGCTGCTTCTAACTAGGTCATCCCCCGCCTTTGAAACATGGCGTGGGTATCCCTAATCGCCCCAAATGGTAGACAGCCCACAGTCCCTCAGCCAGGGAAGGATAAACAACCTGCGGTACATCCGTACAATGCAGTTCTGTGCAGAACAGAAAGGCATGAACTAGGGTTACCTGCCGCCACAAAGGGTGGATCTCAGCTGCCTTATGCCGAGTGAAAGAAGCCAAGCTCAAAAGACTACATACTGTATGGTTCCATTGAAATGACATTCTGCAAGCATTCTGGCAAAACTGTGGGGACAGAGAGCAGATCTGTGGTTGCCAGCCATTGTGGCTGGAAGAGGGGGTAGGTAAACAGAAAGTGGCAAGACAAATTTGGGGGTGACGGAAGCCTACTCTATCTTGGTGGCGGCTGCAGTCGCCTGACAGGCCTTCATTTGTCAAAACTCGCAGAAGGCTGCTGCACTGGAAAATGGTGCATTTCACTGTGTGTAAATTATGCCTTGATTTAAAAATAAAGCAAAATCTTCCATGGTGCCCCAGTACCAGTTCTCACGTAGCGTCTGAGCTCCTTGGTGATCTGACTCTGCTCCCCCCTGTCCAGCCTCGCCCCATGTTGCTTCCCCAACCCGCAGGTCCCACCTCCCCATGCCTCTTCTCAAGGTTTTTCCTCCCCTGGATCACCCTCTCCCCCCATCCCACTGGTCCACGTCTCCTTCCCACATCCTGCTCCAAGCCAGCCCCCACTAGGCACTTCTTCAGCCTGGTGTAGCAATTCTTCCCTGTTGTAGGGGACCTACACGTGAGTGGGCGTCCTTGAATCCTGGACCACTGTGCCATCGCCGGGGAATGAACATTCCTGGAGAGAGGAGCGAAAACTTTCTTGGTATTCTTAAAGGGGTGCCTAACCCAGGAAAAGTCAGGTGGACCTTCCCCCAAAAGAACATACCTCCTCTAGCAAATGGGCACCATCTGCCAAAATGTAAACACACAAACCCTTGAGCCGTGCAGTTCCACGGTGAGCAAGTTAGTCCTCCAAAGTACACACGCGTGCAAAGTGAGGTATGCACGTGGGGCGTCACTGAAGCATTGCTGCTCACGGAGAAAACTGGACAACCTAAGTGTCCACCGAGAGGGGTCTGGTGAAATAAATCGTGGTGCCAACCAAACGACAGAACCCTACACAGCAGTGGCTCCAACCAGGGGTAATTTTGTCCCTGAGGGGGACATCTGCCAATATCTAGAGACACTTCTGGTTGTCACAACCGGGAGGCGGTGGCTGTGCGCTACCAGCATCCACCGGGTGGAGGCCACGGCTGCTGCTAAACGGACAGCCCCTCAACGGAGTTATCCAGTCCAGCATGTCAGTAGGGCCAAGGTCAAGAAACCCCACTCTACAGCCATGAAAAAGAATGACACGGATTTTTTTTTCCCCAAGTAGCCCAACACAGCGCTCAAACTCACGACCCTGAGATCAAGACCTGAGCTGAGATCGAGAGTCCGACACTTAACTGACTGAGCCACCCAGGTGCCCCAAGGTGACACAGCTTTTTAGGGAATGTATTTTTTAAATCACCAAAAAATATGAGGTGAAAAAAAGCAAGACACCAAACACTGTACAACCTAAGTTCTCTATAATGGGTGTGTTTTAAAGGAACACAAAGGCAGAGAATGTATCTGGAAGGATGCACGAAGAACTGGTAACTGTATTTAATCCAGGGAAAGGAATTTATGGGTTGAGAGACAGGGTGAGAGGGAGACTTCCTTTTCATTCTATACTCTTTTGTACCGTGAGGTCCGTGTGCTGTGCGCACATATAATTCATTCAGAATATCAACACAATACATGTTTTTAAAGCCCTGTGGCTCCACGTCCACATTTCTGTCGGATGGCCCCATCACTTTGCCTCCATCTGCTATTGGGGGAGCTCCTTGCGGCCACAGACCATGCCAATCACTTCTCTGTGTCCCTAGTCACCAGCGCCCTGCACAGAGCCTGACACAGACTAAGGGCTCAATGGATGTTTAATAATGTTCATCATCAGTAATCAAATCAAACTGAAGGGGGTGCTGAGCGTGAGACAGAGGAGCTTCTTTGGCAGTAAGGGGCCCAGCAGTGCTGTGTCCAGCTGTTCGGGGGTATATCGGGCTTTGACAGAGTGAAGCGAACAATGATAATAACTAAGCATGCTAGGTACTCTGCATAGATTATTTTACCCTCCCAATAACTGTATGAGATGATACTATTACCCCCATTTTGCAGAGAAGGAAACTGAGGCTCAGAGAGAGGAAGCTGCCCAAAGGTCACAGGGCCTGAGCCATTAACCACTCTCCTCCGGCTTCTCAGTGCCTCTCCCATCCATGCAGAGCTCCAACTCCTGGGTTCTGGCTCCAAGCTCTCTGCAAGGCTGGCTTAGGCAGCCCGGATCACACAGCTCAAGCTGGCGCCCCCAGGTGGCCAGAAAAGGCAAAACTCCGGCTATTTCCACTTAGTAGGTCCCTTTCCCCAGGCTCCCAGATGCCAGCGAGGAACCACCGGCAGAGAAGACCAAACTGAGCTTCAGCCGTCTCCAGATAGCATGCGGGTGGGCAGAAGAGGTGGATGGGGTCCCACCCACTGGGCACGGCAACAGGGAGTGTCTTGGGCTGAGCCCAGGTAGGGAAGCAGGGGTGCCCATGTTGACAGGAGGGGGCATAAAGGGCTGAATGGGAGCTGGGCCCACAGCTGGCAAACAATGAATTGTTATTATTACTAATTAATAGTGCCCATTTAGCCTCAGGCAGCGTGCCAAGCATTTTACACACTTGACCTCATTTAAACCTGGCAACCACCCAGTGAGGTAGCAAGAACTGCGTTTGCAGTCGAGAAAACTAGGGCTTAGAGAGAGGTACATCCAATTGCCAGAGAAGACAGGAGGCAACAGAGATGAGAATGGAACTCTGGGCTAGGTAATTGCAGAACTCACTCAGGCTTTTAACCCACAGCTCACATCCACTTGCAAGGGCGTTATGAAAAAAACTCTCCAATGCTCAGACTTCCAGAGTGGTGATCCAAGCCGGGGGGGCGGGGGAGATGCCTAGACATCCACAGCTGGGACCTGGGAAGCAGCTGACACCCAGCCTGGAGCCCTGCAGAGCCTGCTTCTCTCCTTTCCTGCTTCTTCAGGCTTCTGCTCAGCAGGTACCAGCCAGACGGTAGCCATGGCAACGGCTGCCGGTCCAAATGCTGCAGAGAAACTGCTCTGGATCCCCGAGGGTGAGGTCCAAAGCTTGTGGTAATCAGTCATTCCTTCAACAAATATTTATTGAGTGTCTACTATGCGCTAGGCTGGGTACACTGCAGTGACTAAGACAGACTAGATCCCGTTCTCATGGAGTAACAGAGTAATTATAATACAAAAATCAGTCTCTCTTTCTTAGTGCTTTGTATGTGTCAGACCCTGCGCTAAAACTTTCTGCATACATTATCTCCTTGACAATAATTATCTCAGCCCAGCCCTGAGATAAGGCCTATTAGCAGCCCTACTTCACAGAGAGGAAAATTGAGGCTCAGAGAGGTTCAGCAACTTGTTTGAGGTCACACAGCTAGGGTGATGCTGCCGGGCAAGGAAGCCTCCGTCTCCAGCCACTCGCGCTTCGCCCCGCTCCATCTGTCTCCCAGCCCCCGGAGGTTTCCTGAGCACTCCCGCGTGCCACCTCTGGGCGAACTTGAGCTCCCGACTCCTCCCAGCCCCGCCCGCGTGGGACGCCGGCCCGTTGGGCAGAGGGCGGCTGAAATGACTGGTCCGAAGCCACCCAGCCGGGCAGGGGCAGGGGAGCGGTTCGAGCCCGGGGGGCGGGGGGCGCGTCGCGGGGCCGCTCACCGATGGTGGTGATGACGGTGATGGCGAAGTAGAAGGAGCCGGCGAACTTCCACTGGCGGCCGGCGCGGTGCGGCTCGGCCTGCAGCGCCAGGCGCTCCAGCTCGCGGTAGTCCTCGGCCGAGAAGCCGTACTTCCTCCGGAACTCGCCGCGCTTCTGGGCCAGCAGCCGCCGGCGGCCGCGCTCCGCCTCGGACTCGAGCGCGTCGAAGACGGCGGCGCCTACCAGCAGGTAGGACAAGATGCACAGGATGAGCGCGGCTGTGCGCACGCTCTGCTTCCTCATGGCGGCGCCGCGGGCCCCGCGCCCCGGGCCGGTCCATGCGCCCCGACGGCCGCCCCGCGCTCCACCCTCCGCCCCGCGCGGCTGGAGAGGGCTGCGGGCGGCAGGACGCGGGGCTGAGGTGGTGGGGGGGTGTTGGGGGAGGACGGAGGCGGGGCCTCGGGGGGGGCGTGGAGGTCCGAGAGGGCTCCTCCTGCCGCCCCGCCCCATCGCAACACCTGCCTTTGTTTACCCGCCGGCGCTCCGGGCCGCAGGTGTCTCTAAACAGTGACAGCTGGAGCAGAGCGCCCAAAGCCCGGGTCTGCAGATGTCCGGTCTCCACCACCAGGGTCCTGTGACCTTGGGCCAGTCATCCAACAAAACTGTACCGAGCACCTACTGGGACAGACAAGCGTCCTGGGGTACATAGAGCTGACATCCTAGAAAGGACGGTTGGCTAACCGACAGACACACAAAGATCATTGAAGACAAGTGTGAGAAGGGAAACAGTTCCTGGGGGGAGGTGGGCACCGCCGGCTGAGGTGGTGGGAAAGGCCTCGCTGAGGCGTGACTGGGGAGGGAGCGTCCAGGCAGCAAGTGCAAATCCTTTAGTCAGAGGACCGGCGTGGCTGGAAGCGGGGGAATCAGGGTGCTGGGGAGTGGAGGAGCAGGGAGCAGAAGAGAAGGGACTTCACACAGGGTCTTACAGGCCCTTAGCCGGGAAAGGCGGTAAGCAGGAAAACAAACACACACCAGTGACCTGATTGACATTTTTTCAAAAAGAGCATCCTGGCTGTCCCGTGGAAAAGGGGTGCTGGCTAAGAGTGAGGCCACTTAGGAAACTGTAGTCCACGTGCGCGGTGGGGGGTGGCGCGGACCAGGGGCACAGCACTGGAGGTGCGGAGAAGCCGGGGGTCCGAGATAGGGTGGGGAGCTGGAGCTGGGCACACACAGCTAGCCACATTTCCCAGCCTCCTCTGCACTTGGAACCGTCGCCAATGGCGACAACTCCCAGGCCTGGCCGGTAAACCCCTCCCCATGCCGCGCTCCACCTCTCGTCCCCCACCCACAGGCTGAATGCGGAGGTGAAGTCTTTAGGAGAAGGCACAGTCACAGGGTGGAAGGAGCCTGGGTGCCCAGATGACACCGCAAGGCCGCCCCCACGCCAGGCGCACCGATTCTGAACTTCTGTTGTGTTGAACCCCTGAGCTATGGGCTCAGTCTGTTACCCCAGCTGGCGTAACCCTGGTGTGCAGAGCAGGAACACCTGCTGGTGGGCTGGATCTGGAGGGCAAAGGGAGACTCCAGATGACCCCTGGGTCTTTGGCCTGAACAGCTGGGTGCTTGGGGAGCCTTCCGTTGACCTCACTCCCCAAGGAATCCAGTCCGGCCACCCAGCACCAGAGTCCGGGGTGGGTCTTTGGGGAGATTCTGGGCAAGCACCAGGCAGCCTCACCTGCAGGTGGGTGTCCAGAGCATCTGCGTGGCCCGGTCTCTGCGGCAGCCTTGGCACGCATCCCTAGTCCCCCCATCTCTACTCCAACCTCTCGCCCCGCTGCCCTTTTGTGATTTTTGTTTGTTTGTTTCAGCCACACTGAACTATCAGCTCCTTGCACAAACTCTTGCTTTGCTTAGAACAGTCCCCTTCCCATCATACTCCACAGCCCACATTTATTGAATGCCTGCCAGGGGCCAGACACCGGGTGAAGCATGTTGCCAGTATCATGCATTTTATCACCAGTCTCCTTACGCTGTAGGCATGGCTGGCTGACGCCCCGTTCATCCTTCAGCTCCCAGGTTACTGGACGTGGCCTTCCCCGGCGCCTCCGCAGATGGCCTCCCTCTGTGCTGCCAAAGGCCTCTCTCTGAGTTCCTGCTCTCTTGCCTTCGTCCCACGGCACTGTGATCCTCCCATTCCATATCTGTGTTCCTCCTGAGGACAGGGATCCTGTCTGGGTCACCTCTCTGTCCCCGGCACCCGGATCTGGCACAGCACAAGCCCAGTGACTGTGGACGGATGAGCAGCTACAGCCTGTAGAAGTTAAGGGCATGGACTCTGCACCACGACTGCCTGGGTTCATATCCCAGTCTGCTGCTTATCAGTGTGCAAACGTGGGATGACTCAGTGCCCACCCCCCCCCCGAGTAAAACAGGGTAGAGAATTTCCTATCTCATAAGGTGCTGTGCCCCCCCGCCAAAGATGCCCACATTCTTTCCCTGGAACCTGTAAGTAGGTTAGGATGCACAGCAGAGAGGAGGGAGGGTTGCAGGTGGAAAGAAGGTTCGCTGACCTGGAGACTGGAGGTTATCCTGGACTATCTGGGTGGGCCCGGTGTCATCACAAGGGTCCTTATACGTGGACATGGCAGGCAGAAGAGGGACAACCAAGGAGATACGAGAAGGAATTGACCTGATGTTGCTGGCTTTGGAGATGGAGAAAGGGGCCACAAGCCAGGGAGAGCCGGTGACTTCTAGAATCTGGAAAAGGGAAGGAAATGCCTCCCTAGAGCCTCCAGAAGGGAATGCAGTCCTGCCAATCCGTCGGTTTTAGGCCAGTGCGCCCTGTGTAGGCCTCCATCCTACGGAAGCGGGACATGGCGCATTGGTGTTGTTCAAGCCGCTGCATTGGGGATCATTTCTTTGAGCAGCAGGGGGGAATGACTTCAGTGATTGTGAGGAGGGAGGAGCCCAGAGGCAGGAAGCACTAAGAGCGGCATCTGGCCCCGAGAGGACTCCTCTAGAAGTGTTAACCACTGTTTCAAATATCACGCGCGAGCGAACGCCCGGGGCCCGCAGGGACATTATAGCGTGTGCTCTGACTCGGTTCTGGGGCCGAATCGGGGGCCTTGCACCCCTGCTCCCCTGGGAAGCCAGACTGCAGCTCCGTGGCCCAGAAGCCTCATTTGCAGTAGTGACATCAGCTAGTTTGCTTTTCTGATTCCTGCCCAGCCTTCAGGGGAGCCGGAGGCCGGGTCACAGTCTCGGCGGCGGGGGTTGGAGCACCGTGGATTTACTGCCCGAGAGGGGTCTGAAAAGAGCTTTCCGAGGACAGTTAATGAGTCCTGGTCACTGACACAGCTCCTCCACTTTCTGGGTGGGGGAATGTGGCTAGAATACTTCGCTGGCCTTGGTTTTCCCACCCGAGAAACGCAGGTGATCATGGCCACCTCGTGGGACCGTGCCGAGGATCATAAAAGATCTTGTGTGTCACTTTCCAGGAGCCCGGCCGCAGTAGCCACGTTTCCTCCCTGTGTACAACTGACTGCCTGCAGATGTCAAGAATTCTTTTTCTGGAAGCGCGTGTCTGTGCTAGGCATATCACAGACCTTACTAACGCAGCCCTCACTTCCCAGTGCGGGAAACCGAGGCACCGAGGGGAAGACGCCCCGCCTGCCAGGTCCTCCCGGCCAAGCGGCGGCCGAGCCAGGACTTGAGCTCAGGGCCGTGTGGTCCCCAAAGTCATGATCCTTCCAATACACCACACCACTTTCTCAGACCTCTTGCCCACCCCCGGCTTTATCCTTCTCCCATCGCGCCTCTGGCCCCCACCTTCCTCGTCTCTAAGCTGGAGCTGAGGAACCCTGGCTGGCTGCCTCCAGCACTGTGAGGCCCCTGTGACACACAGCTGAGCCGCGTCTTGTCGGGTGTGCCCGCTGGGGGTGGGTTTTATTGGGGCCATGGGGGAGCTGTCTGGCCCTGCCAGGCAGGTGACTCTGCCCTGTGCTTGGCCTTTTGGGTTCAGCAGCTCTATTTTAAGCCAGAAGAGGTTAGAGTTGGCGGATGTGTATTTCTCAGCTTGCAAAACGGTCAGCTGAGCAGTCATCAAGACCGGCAGCGCTCCCAGGCACCCCCTTCAGCTGCCCGTCCCACTGCCTCCCCCGCTCCTTCCTCCTTCGGGAACCTGAGGGGACCCAGTGATTTTCGTCTGTCCCTTCATGCCAGAGTCACACGCGTGGCCCCTCAGCGAGGCCTTGGATCTTCTTCCAGGGCCCCAGGGTTGCCGGCTTTGAGGACAATGAGGAAGGTGATCCCAGTCCCCAGGGGCTGGACCCCGGGCGCCATCCAAAGCACTCTGCATCCCTTATAAGTCTAGAGCCTTCTGAAAGCGTCGTGAGCCAGGCAGGCCTTGCTGTTCCCGTGTCAGAGAGGAAACACAGACTCAGAGAGCAGAAGTGGCTGCCACGTAGGGTGGCGCAGGGCAGGGCAGAAGAAAGAACAGGAGTTTCTGAGTGAGCCAGACCTCAGTTCCCTCTTGGACAAGTGACTTCACCTTCGAGCCTCAGTTTCCTCACCTGTGGCATGGGTGTAAAGATATCAGCCTCCCAGTATTTCTGTGAGGATTAAATGAAAGCGTGAAGGAGCACTCAGCACAGAGTAGCTGCCCAGCAAATGTTAGAACCCCTTATACCCAATTAATTTTTTCTTTTCCTTTTCCACACTGCTTATTCCCCAGGCCTCCTGGGATCTTAAAGGATTGATTTTTATAGTTAGAATATAGTTCAGTAATTTTCCAGAAGCCCAGAGGGCCCAGGTGTTTTCCTTGATAAGATCTCTCTCTTGTCTCTGTCCTAAAAGAATGGATTGTTTTGGCCTCAGGTAGCAGCTCCTTTGAGATGGCAGCAGTAACCTTTCTGCAGCCTGAGTATCACTTAGGGATCCAGGCGGCAAGAAATCAAAAGCTGCCTCTTGCTAATTTAAAGAACGTTATAGGCAGGATCTGGGGTTCTTGCAGAATCTTCCAGGCACTGGAAGACAAACTGTATGGTTTGAGGGAACCAGAGAGATAGAACCTACCACCAGGGAAACCCATAGCCATACCCAGTGTGGGGGGCACCATTGTTCCCAAGCTGATGCAGATACTACTGGGGGGACAAGTGGCAACTGTCTGAGCATGACCCTGTCTCTGAATGTTGGGACCCGCCAGAGCTGCTCAAAGGATTCCCAACGTGAGTTTGTGGCCATTCAGTTGGAGCTTTTGGGATTTCTTCACTTTCCTGAGGATGGGTATCTTTAGGTTAATGGAG